TCCATAAAAACCGAAGACTGTCCCTCCATAAAAACCGAAGACTGTCCTGTCTTCAGCCTCTCGGGCGTCTTCAGTCTTGAAGGTGACTGGTAGTCACAGGGCAGTTTGCTCTCATGGAGTGTGACATGGACAGAGTGTCTCAGGAGCTTGGAGACGATGATGGAGCAAAGGTTGTCAGACCGTCTCCAAGCAGCTTAACACACCTGAGACTGGATTGGAACCAAACACCGGACTGTTCTGAATCCTGCCAACATCTGTGGATGGAGCTGAAACATCTGGACCTTCAAACTTTAGTTTGTTTTTGAATCATTTTGTTGAACCAAACTTGAAAAGCAGACTAATTTTCTTTAGTTAATTTTGTCTGACTTGGGTCAGATTAAAGTTATTTTTGTGTTTTTTTTTCTTCTTAACGCTGCAGTGTGAGATTTGTCCACGTCTGTACCAAGTCGACCCGGTTTAAACCGACCAGGGTTCAGAGTCAAACATCAGATGTTGTTCTAAGTGGAGCCTTTTAGTTTTGAAGGGACTAGTTTCTGTAACTTTTGATGGTTGCGGTATTTGTGGACGGACGGTGTGGCCCGTTCTGGACGGCTTCTTCTGAGTCCGTTAAGTGTTTGAACGTCGTCTTTACCAAGAGCCATGCTGCCGTCTGTTGTTCTGAAGAGCAGGACTTAGTTTCAGTGACCGCGCTCACTTTCCTGAAGACATTCTCACCTTTCTGCTGATCAGGAGCAGCCAGCTTGAAGAGCGTCTGTTTTTAAGTGCGTCGCGTCGCCTCCGGGACGATTTGCACGACTTCGCCCGTAAAGCGTCGATGTGACGGTCCCGTCGGCTCGCGCCTGAAGAGAGGACGCTAAAGCTTAAAGAAAAAACTCAAGCCATAATCGGTCAGTCAGTCGCAGCTCTGACCACACCCAGTGGTGATGTAAGCGTGCATGGACACGCCCACAAGTGCACGCCATTGCAGCCACGTGAGACGAAAAACCCATCCACAAGATAAGATTTAAAACTTTAATTCATGCTTTATTCTTAACTGGCCAATATTTAAAATCATTAAATTGAAATAAAATAGATGTGGCTCTTTTCTAGAGTGGAAAAACTTTTTTAATGCATTTTATTTAAAACTAAGTAGATTATGATCTAAGAGACGAGTTGAGCATCAAAAGGAAAAAAATCTAAATTAAGTCCTTGTCTACACAGAAACAGATTTTTTTTTTGTTTATTTTCTACAACTATCCCTTTAACACTGCCTCATTTCCAGAAATGACTTAATTCACTCCCAGACACAACAAATGATTCAGACATGCTGTAGTCACTATGCCAGGCTTGAATGTGGTGCCGTAACAAGTCCACCAAAAACAGGAAACAAGACGCAAAGCATGCACATAAAGCTAAAGTGACAAGTGGCTTATGGCTGGGCAGACAAGTTGTCTACGCTGAAGACTAAACTGAGATGGGTTGAAAACGCCAGAGACTAAACTGAGATGGGTTGGAGACGCCGGAGACTAAACTGAGACGGGTTGAAGACGCTGGAGACTAAATTAAGATGGGTTGGAGACGCTGGAGACTAAACTGAGATGGGTTGGAGATGCCAGAAACAGACACGTTGGAGACGCTGGAGACTAAACTGAGACGGGCTGAAAACGCTGGAGACTAAACCGAGATGGGTTGAAGACGCAGGAGACTAAACTAAGACGGGCTGAAGACGCCAGAGACTAAACTGAGATGGGTTGGAGACGCTGGAGACTAAACTGAGATGGGTTGGAGATGCCAGAAACAGACACGTTGGAGACGCTGGAGACTAAACTGAGACGGGCTGAAAACGCTGGAGACTAAACCGAGATGGGTTGAAGACGCTGGAGACTAAACTAAGACGGGCTGAAGACGCCAGAGACTAAACTGAGATGGGTTGGAGACGCCGGAGACTAAACTGAGACGGGTTGAAGACACTGGAGACTAAACTGAGATGGGTTGGAGACACCGGAGACTAAACTGAGACGGGTTGAAGATGCCGGAGACTAAACTGAGATGGGTTGGAGATGCCGGAGACTAAACTGAGACGGGTTGGAAATGCTGGAGACTAAACTGAGACAGGTTGGAGACACCGGAGACTAAACTGAGATGGGTTGGAGACGCCGGAGACTAAACTAAGATGGGCTGAAGACGCCGGAGACTAAACTGAGACGAGTTGAAGATGCCGGAGACTAAACTGAGACGGGTTGGAGATGCCGGAGAATAAACTGAGACAGGTTGGAGACACCGGAGACTAAACTGAGACACGTTGGAGATGCCGGAGACTAAACTGAGACAGACTGAAGACGCCGGAGACTAAACTGAAATGGGTTGGAGATGCCAGAAACTAACTGAGACACGTTGGAGACGCCAGAGACTAAACTGAGATGGGTTGGAGACACAAGGAAACTAAACTGAGACAGACTGAAGACGCCAAAGACTAAACTGAGACGGGTTGGAGGTGCCAGAAACTAACTGAGACGCGTTGGTGACGCCGGAGACAAAACTGAGATGGACTGAAGACGCTGGAGACTAAACTGAGACGGGTTGGAGACGCTGGAGACTAAATTGTCAAACATTTTGAGATGCATTGGAGAAACATGTCTAGGATTGTTGGTTAGTTTGGGGCGGGGGCTATGACATAGTCTTACAAACGTTGTGTATTGGCTGTCTCACAAATGGTGCAGTTTTGAGATTTCTTTCACTTTGGAAACATTTTAAAAGACAAATGTTTTGAGGCTTTTCAAACTGTTTCTGTGTGGACACGAGGCTGAAACCATGGCGAACTTCAGGGGCGGATTCAGAAATGCTCCTGAGTTTTCTAGACCTTTTTAAAACTTCTCTGTACAAGTTAAACACCTTGAATATTTCCTCGTGATGGGAGAAGTGTGGCGGGAGGATTTAATTTGTGCGACTGTTGGACCAGCACTTCCTGCAGAGAAGCTCCTCACGCTCGTCTCACGGCTGATTTAACGGAGCTCCGGTAGTTTGGATGGGACTTGTAATCCAAGGTGCCTGCCAGGACTTGACTTGCCTGTAGATATTTTTTCTCTTCTTTTTGCCGGGGGGGGGGGGGGGGGGGGGGGGGGTGGTGGGTTGGGGGGGGGGGGGGGGGGGGTGGGGGGGGGTTGGTACAAACTTTAAGGGCACTGGAGATCTTACTGGGAATAGTTGTATTAAAACATAAAACTGAATTAAAAAAAGCTTCAGCTGACTTCTTCGTGCGACCTGTCTGTCTGTGCCTTTTGATGGTCTTGATATCCAAGATTTGATGTGCAGCTTGTGTTTAGTCGGGAGTCCGTCGTTCCTGCAGTATCCGCTCTGAAAACGAACAATCAAGTGGGGGGGGGGTCTTTTATTTCATTTCTGTACATTTTAAAGAAATCTGTTGCCACAGCTGTGATTTGTGACTGTAATAAAAAGATGCAAAGCAAATATTATATATTTTTGCGTTACCTTTTTCCTTGAGCTTTTTTATGTTTTTGTGCAGATATTTTTATTGTGAAATGAATGTTTCTATCAGACACTAACCTTGTTTGAGTCGTCTCCGGTGGTTCTTCACTCTTGATCAGTATAAACTTTTAATTGTGTACTTTTAAATTGATGAAAGGGAAAAAATTAACGTTGTATTTTCAGGGTTTGTTTGCCATGAAATCGTCTGGATTTGATTGGTCAGTTTTATTTTGCTGTCGTGTGAAGGATTAGACTTGAAAGGAAACATTTGTTATTTAAGACCGACGGCTAAATGATTTTTAATGTTTTGTTTTTTCCTGATTCTGCCACGACATTTCAATAGACGTTCATTAAAAACTACCTTCATCCACGCTGTCGACTCCTCATTTAGTTCCTGCTAAACTTTTATCAAAAAACTAAAGAACTGCAGCTAATTAATCAAGGGAATTAAAAGTAGCTAAAGTCTAGCTGAGAAGAGCAAATAATGAGCCGAAAGTTTTGAAAAGGCACAAGCTAAATTAATTCAAGCTTTATTTCTACAGGTGAGTGTCATTGAGCCTCGAGGACTCGACTACAAGACCTGGTTTTAACAAAATACTGGCGTAAAAAAGAAATGATGTAAAAAGGAAACAAACAGCTGCATTATAAGGTGATGTAAAATAAACGAGAACACGCGTGTTGGTCAGGAACTTGAGGAAAACCTACAGTTGAACGTTGCTAAAGGCTAACGGAATAAAACTAAAACGGATCCAGTTTGTGAAGCAGATTTAGAACAAAACATTAAATTAGTTTATAAAATCCATCCATGGTCTTCCTCAGGTTCTGGACTCGGGGCAGCATCTTGAGCAGGGAGGTCCAGACGCCTCTCTCCACAGCCTCAAGC